TGAGAGGAAAATAACCTAAGTAACTTCCTATATAGACAACTACCTATTAGTAAAATATTATCAAAATCGGTTCAGCAGATTACCCGGAACAAACACAGAAAATATTTAAATTGATTTTTAAGCATAGGTATCATGCAAAAATTTTGATTTTGACATTACAAGCAGACACTTCAATTTTATTAATTTGTATAGATATAATAGAACCTGTGCCTGAATACTTACCTATGGAAAATGTAAATCGTATAACCAGAAATGGTTATAGATCCTAAATTGTCATTTCCATGAAAATTTTGATGAAACCTAATATTAATTTTGAAATACATTTTCAATGATACCCCACTTGACATAGCTCGTCGACTTTTTTTTACAATATGGCGTCGGTATGTCGCCATTCGACAATCGAATTGTGATTACTGTCATGCTGTCATGTAGGTACTTAGAGGAATAGATTGACGTAAGAATCAACAACATCAGCCCACGCGTTTGGTCTCTAGAGCGCCACAAAGGAACAAACAACAAAACAAAGAGGGTGATGGGTACAAAGATGGGTAAAAATAGCTAACATCTAGCACACATAGGGTTGCCATTATATTATAACGCATCCTACTTTATTTCTCTACGTTACTAAAGCTACTCTATACTTTTGTGTTAAAATAAAATACATGAAAATAGTTACTTAAGTCATTTTTGAACTACTTATCGACATGAACATCAACAACAACAACAACAAACAAACAACTACAGAACAAGAACAGGGCATATACACGATTAACATAAAGTTTATTCTTTAGTAAATTAAACATTAGGTGACTGATAATATCTATCACTGACGTCAATACTAACGAAATTGAAAACTGCCTTTTGGTTAAAAAGTTTTTTTTAAATATATATTTAGACCTGCAATTTATATTTCAGTGGGCGTTCTTTTCCTATCTAAAAAGTTTTAAGCACAACGCACAACCTCTTTGTAGAATTAGAATTAAATAGGTATTTTTAGTATCTGCTTAACGTATTCAATGGCAAGTCTACGGGAAAAAATGTACTGCCTTTACAAGATAACTAAATATTAGGGTTTTTAAATGTTAATAATTATTTCTGAAATCTTGAACGCTAAATAAATAATTTGGTAATGTTACACAATTTTATCAAAAAAAAAATATACACCACACACCCAATAGATACTTTTTTAACATTGTTTTATAATTAAGCGCACTAATTTCAGTAATACGCAACAATTTTATCAGTGCGTTGACATGTCAGTTATAACTTTATAACAAAAAAGAAATTAAATGGCCTGTCAGTCCTCCACAATGCCTATTCTAAACATAATTGGTTTTTGTAAGCACAAGACGTATTACCTACGCCAACTTTTTAAAAACCAGTCACCTAGATTTAAGAAAATATATTTCTTGAGTTTATTTTTGATATTTGAGCTTTTAGAGATAAAACTATGTGGCTGTAAATAATAGCTTTTTTTGGTGCCAAATTAGAACTATATCTTTAGAGTCACAGATTGCATAACGACGACGTACTTAGTGCAGTGTTGAAGAACACAGTAATATCAAAAGATGGACTACAAGAAATTTTTCGATTGTAGTAGCTTTACAGGATTTTTATTTTCTTATTTAACAACTTGTACAAGTTAACACACAATTCAACTCTAAAACCTAAGCTTTGAGCGAACGCTCATTCTCGCATATGCTAGAAATATTTTTGTTATAAGGTTTAAGCTTTACGATTGCGAGTAGCAATTGCTAAACGTATTCTCCGTGAATATTTTAGAAAGTGGAATAGAGTCGAATGCAATGTGATGTGTAATATACCTACCTAGATGCGTAAACACGCTCACTAGGTGTAAAAGTTGCCGTACAATTGTTACATTTGCTACGTGTTGATTTAATGTAAAGATTTTTGTAGTACTAAGTAGTAGATAACTAATCTTGAAAACAAAATGTGATTTTGTTTAAATATAGTAGTGGTAGCAGACTATTACACTAAAATAATAAATTTATTATAGTAACTGTGTTGATCAACCTACGCAAAGGAACCAATAAGCGTGACAGATAATAATAACAGTAGATATTAAACTATTAGTACAAAATTATTGAAATCAAATAATATTTACATTAAACTTCCGTGACTTCTACTAATACCTATCAGATGATTATTAATTAAAAATTTAAATAAATCTGTATGACTGCTGATATCAATAGGTAAATTATGTAAAAAAAAACATCATGTCAATGCTTTACAGATACAGGCAATGCTATAAAAATAAGCAGTTGCATCTACAGCTATGGTTTTAACCAGAGCAGTTTTAATTGTCATTTTTTTATTGCCCTAGAATTTTAAGGGTAAGGGCCTACAGCTATGAGCCACGTGCGTCTATCTATAGTAACGACATCTAGTGGCACTATGTGTAATCGACCGAGTAAACATGTCAAACAAATGTCAGTGGCTCAGCTGATCTCAACGCGCGAGATGTGCTCGCATCTGCTTCATTTCGTGAAGCACATTCAACGCTTTCCCGACCGTATGCGATTAAAAATAGTTCAGTACGCATTTGGCCCACGCTTGTCTCACTCACACAAACAAATAGAAGCTCAAATATCGTAAGACATTACCCTTTTCAGTGCAGTGTTCTTGATGTTCTGCAACTCATTCTTTATTATGGAAAATTTCATCATTGTATCCGAGGAGAATATCGAACTGCCAAAGGCCAGACCCGGATAATCTGCACATCGCCTTCTTCGTCTGTTTTCTCGTTCCGCCAAAACTTCAGTACACTCGCTAGTACACCTAAGTTTCGCGAGTTCCGCCGTCTCAGGGTCATCATCTGATATATCAGAGGCGACAGCAGTGAATTCTGCGCCATCTCCCGCCGACCGTTCTTCTCGGAATGAAAATTCATCATCAGATTCGTCAAGTGATTCTGTATCCTTTACTCTATTATCGAATTCTATTTCATCGTCAACATTTGTATAGTCCTCGACTGTGTTTCGATTCGAAAGTGCATCGTCACTATTCGTCCTTGTCACTTCTTGAGATTCACTAACACTATTGACACAAGGCACAACATCGTCTGTTTGACTGAGTAAGGCCACTTGTTTGGACGGATCTAAGTTTGCAAGCGCACTAGGTGCGGGTACACGATTGCCCCTTAGCCGCGGGTGGTGTTGATGCCCCCTGCGCCGCACGGGGGTGCGCCCGTGGGCGTGGGGCGCGGACGCGGACATTACTACACTTAGCGCGGTCCGTCCGGCCGCGCAGCGGCGGCGGCCATATTGACTGACTGATTGTCATTCTTAGTTCAACACATACACCGTGGCGCTGTAATCGCGCCTAAAGGCTGCCATAATTTTGTTTTCATTGTACTGTTTTACCGACGGTATACGTTGCATTTGTTTATTATTGAGTGCGGGCATTTTAATTATTAGAAAGTTTTATCTAATAATTGTACATTTTACACTACTAAATTAAGTATTTAATTTTTTAATGTTTCTTCACTAGTTAATTTATCAAAAGTTTTAAATCTATATAGTTATATGTATTAATATTAAAAGCAAAGGTTCCTGTGTGGGCTCCTAATTAAAATAAATAGGGCGTTGAATTCCATAAGTTCAGATAATCTACGTACGTGAGCATATTGAATGAGTCCCGTGTCTATTTTTATCTAACACCAGGCATCGGGCCCATATTAGGTGTCGAGCGACGAAAATAAACCTTACACGCGGAACGCAGCCACCAGAGCGCGGGATTCCGGTATACACAGCATGTTTTAGCTCTCGATTTAATTGTAAAAGAATTATTATATTTACAATAATTACACATAAGGCATATGGTAAACAATTATAAAACTTCAAAAGAATTCAGAAGTTTTACGAAATTGCTCAGACTAAGGAAACTGCTCGGACAATGACTTTTTTGTATGATTCGTCAAAAAAAGGCTACAATTGTAAATTGAGTTAGATGTAGATACCTTAATTGCATGGCGTAAATAGTATGATTTTTTAATTTTTTATAGTGACATCATTAAGGTGTTGTATTTCTATCGATAATTCTATTTATAAAGACGAGTCAGCATTTCGGCATCAGATCTCATAATATCGGTTAGCAATTCACTCCGACTGCCAATGTGCCAAGGCTCTTGGCGCGGTAGATAAACCACTTGATAATAGAAACAAATTGTTAGTGCAGTCCACATTTTAATTACTCTAAATGAAATATGTCAATGACATCACTTACTACTTTCATATCTCCTTCAACAAATAGAGATACCTACAAATAACCCATTATTATAATGAATTCACAAAAAATGCTTTAGAAATGTTGTTAATGCTAAATACATATATACCCCACTCAGAGATGGTATATACTTTGTGAGTCACACACACATATCACATCAACAGCCTTTAAAACATTTCACTGCTGGACATAGGCCTTTCCTTAGAACGGAGGTTTTAGCCTACTCTGCAACACTGGCCTGACGCTTTGGAATAGTGGCGCCCGGGGCGTAAGAAACTGTGCCGCCCCTACAAGATCAAAATTTTTAGCCCTACGAAAATAGAAAAGATTTATAATTTGAACAATTTGACTTGATTGAATTTTGACAAATTAACTAGTGTACTAGTTTTTTTAATAAATTTGAATTTAGTCTGACTTTGGAGCACAATCCTTTATTGACATAATTGTACCGTTTTACCAGTATATAGCTGGTCGCTTGGTACCGGCCGGGCCATTGTAACTGATAGATAAATGATTCGTTGGGCGTTCTTTACTTTTTTGCCACGCACGTTTGGACTGTAGACCAATATCCAGTGATGCACGAATTTACTTTTTAAAATTATAAGAAATACTTAAAGTAATTCTTTAAACATTCTTAATAACTTTAAGTAAAGGTTTACATAATGGTTTATTTTTGCATTAAAGTAACAATTAATACAAACGAAATTATGTTTTATTGTAAGAGCTGTCGTCTACTTTAAAATTCAATCACTTACATTCTGAAGAGCCTTCTCCTTCTCCTCAAGCTTAGCGTTGACCTGCATGAGGCCTTCCTGAGTCTGATCCAAGTCATTTTCAATGGTCTGGATCTTCTTTTGGAGCTGTCTGGCCTCCTCCTCAGCCTGTATTAAACAACTTATTAGTGAAATCCTCAAATCAAATAAAAAAGTTAAGATGGATTTTTGCGAAGAACGAAGTGACGCCGGTTTTATAATCGTGTGGTGCAAGGGCCGGTGCTGCCATCATTATTCAAATGATATTACAAATTTACTATATTATATACAAAAATAACGTAATCAACTTTATTATTAACGTTATCGTAAATGATAAAGTGAAAGTGAATAAAGTGATCTGTCAGACACTCCGACGAGAAGTGTTTAAAAAATAAAATTTCTGAATATTTAATTTTTTCTCTTTTTGGGTATTATTATTTAGTAATTTTTTTTTTATATACATTGGGTTAAAATGCGAGTAACATAACATTGTGTGTCACATTACCCAATAATAAGGTAAATTATAACACTTTAATGAGAAAACTTCTTGTGTTCCAAACAAAATTGACTTTATTTTATCGAAAATTTTCTACGCTGACTTATTTGAAATGCGATTCCATTCTACTATGTCTCTTGGTGATTTTAACACCCTTTCGGCAATCGGCATTTTTACTTGTAAATATTGTTGACGTTTTCACTGACAAGGCGTAGTTTCGTTATACGTGTGTGCGTGTAATTGTGTATATACACGCAAAGGCGTAGTTTTAGTTGGCCTCACTTCTTTGTTCACAGAGTACCACCTTACCTTTTTTATTTGATCTGTGGTGAAATCATCAATGAAACTGTAAATATTCCTTTTCATATAAGTCGAACTACATTATAATAACCTCACACATCTCACACACGGCCGTCTGATCCCAAACTAGGCAGAGCCTGTGCTATGGTAACCAGACTGCTGATAAACATACTATGTTCTACTGTTAAATACATACAGTACTGTGTTCTATTGTTAAATACATACATATTTTAGATAAATTACACCCAGACACAGAACAAATGGCTGTGCTCATTACACAATATTTGTCCTGGGAGGGAATCGAACCCACGAACCGGCTTAGCAGTCAGGGCCACAAACCACTAGACCAACAAACATATATATATTTCTAGTTTTATTCATATATTTTTTGTTTTTTCTCATGCTCTAGCTTTTGGTAATTTATGAACTGCAATGCAGTATAATTACAGAACTGCAATAAACACAATGCCGGTAGTTTTATTAGGTATGTATTCTGTGCTAAAGTCCTTTTCGTCGATTTACAAAACGTGTAAAAATATTTACAAGGTATTTTAATAAGACATGATATACATTGTAGAAGTGCAACAAGTATTTTTATCAATTACATAATGAAATAACATACACTATACGAAACACAGACATACATCTAACTTGTCAGAGGTTGGCGTCCTTAGCCCTGACACGTCCGTTGCCAAGGCTTTACCTCACTAGACGCAAAAGATATGGCACGTATATTATGAGTTTATTTAATAAATTAATTAATTGCAAAATAACTACATCTGGCTATTATGTTATTGGTTTATTTTATATTACAGTTAAGCGTTAAGTGTTTCACAACACAAGCTACCATATTTATCTGTGTATAAAAACTTTTATTAAAAAGAAACTTGGAATGCTTTCATTATTTTTTGTAAATATTCAATTAAATCTGACATTAATAAAATTTAGTTGGTTGTTTTTAACTTTATACATTATCTGAATTGTGAAAAATCTATTACAGGTATTTTACTACGTTACTTACTGTTATAACTGTTAAGTATAAATATATATTTGACAGACAGAAATGTGCACATTTTTATTCTTCTGTTTTATTGTTTTAGTATAGCGCATTATGTATTTGTGATAAGAAACTGCATTGTCATTGCTTAATTTTGACATTTAATATTAACATAATATACCTACTCGATGTCATAATTCGTATTATAAAAATATAAGGACCAGTGAAAGTCCCCGTTAAAATTCAAAAGTTTGCTCCATGACGGGGAAAACATGAAACTCACACTTACTCGTACTTACGCGATTAACTTACACTCATGCGAAATTACATCAAAACTTGTATACATTTATATTATATTATTATTATATGCAAATAATTTAAGGCACATCTGTATAAACATTCAAATGCAAACGATTAAAAAAATAGTACTTATAATAGTTTTTTATTCTACCGTAGCCAGCACATACATAGGTATGTAAAATGTGTGAACGCAATGAATTTAATCGACTAAAATAGTCATATTTATAGCAATAAAGCGTGCCCTTTAACCATAAACGGTGAAGTGTGTCGCGTACCTTCTCGGCACGTAGGTTGGCGTCCTTGGCCTCTTGCTCGCACATGGCGGCGCGGTCAAGCGCGTTGTCCTTCTCCAGCTTCATCGCCTGCATCTTCTTTTTGATCGCGTCCATTTTGGCGGTTTGTTTATTTCTACTCCCCTAGATGAACAGCTGTAAAGGAATATTTATTTAGCAATTTTGGTCGTTCTTAACGAATATCAATTATTCAATATAAAGACGTGGGAAACTATTTAAGAATTCAACAAATATGTGGTGTTTAATTAAATTATATTTACATTAATTTTTAATGTCTTAGCCACTTTCATAAACATAGCGGCTTATGGCAATATAAGTTTATAAAAACTATCTTTAGAACCAAGGGTGCATTGATCTTAAAAAAAAGTCCTTTTTGGTTTACTTGTGTCGGTTTGCCATCCAATAAATAATCATACCAACTAATCAAATTTCCAAAAGAATTCTTTTTCATTACCCGCAAGTAGGTATTACCTATATTCTGGTGTGCAATGAGTACAAAGACTTAATCTTTTTTTAGTGTTTTTTTATGTATACTAGTAATTTTCTACGAGCCTTAATCCTTATTCGAAATTCAACAAGTTTATGCTTAATTTTTAGTTTAAAATGCTATAAAATACTTTTCTTAGATTACTTTGTCGTTTTTATTAGATGATAATATTATGTAGACAACCGCATTAATAATAGAAGATTGATCGTTTTTGCCTGAGTTCCTAAGATCTAGCCTTTGTTGGTCATTACTCATCGGACTCATTGGACAGCTGACTTAACTTTCTAATGTAATAAGTGTTTTGTTGCTTGGAAAGACCTACATTTTTCAACTTCAACAAAATACGAGAATACTATTTTCCATTAAGTTAGGATTTTAAACTTTACGATGTGACGACATGTGAAACATAATCAAAGGATGAAATAATAACACACATTGAATATGACATTCCATATTAAACAAAAGGAGAAGAAACATACCAAAATACAAACATAATAATGACATGTTTATATAAACAGTGGAAAGTTCTCAAAACTACATACTTCATTACTTTTGTACGATAAATTAGCAACTCAACAATCATATGAGAAATGCAACCAAAATAGATATAAACTAATCTATTTGGAATCATAATCTAAGACTATAAGATCTAAATGACAATCTAAATAAATGTCTAAAGATAAAAAAAGTTCAATAATTAGGTATATAAAATGATTAAATTTTTCGATAATCGCAGGTAAGTTGAAGAGCCTCATTGCTTTTAACTTCATTATTAGCTAGATAGGTACCGGTTGAAACATTAATGAAAGTGCGACGAAAGAACAAATTATTTTAAATTTCGAAACAAATAATGAATTGCTTACGTTAACTTTTTATAAGCGTTCCTACCGTTCCAAACCGTAACGTTCCATGCTAGAAAGGATATTATTAGACAGACAATGAAGTGACCCTAAAGGGGTTTCCTTTTTTACATTTAAGAAACTGAATTCAAGAAATTAAATAAGGCAACGAGCAAATGAAGCAGGACGCTGTATGCGGAATACAGGATAATAGTGGTGGATAATGGATTCCAGTGTCCTGATTCTCTTTTCTTTGTATGATTAAATTGCGGACGTTAAAGCCGATTCGCCCTAGTCATTTAAACTTTATAGCTGTAATAGGCACTAAGGAAGAAAAACCTATTTAACATTCGAATAGCATTTTGTTCGCGATGTTCCAAGAACGACCCATTTAAAAAATGGTGGATCCAATTCTCTATGAGAGTTTTATTACCAGGTTAACCTGTCTTCGTTCTACTTACATAAAATTAAGATTTTCGAGTTAATAAAGCGTAATTCGAATTCATGAGACCATACGGTCTACTAAACGTAAAACACTTTTTGAGTCAACTAGACGTGACATGAAATCTAAAATGTTATTTAGGATATTAAGACGTCAAAATATTGTAACAATCAAATGAATTCGAGACGTCAAACTAGTTTGGACGACGATTTCATCGTTTCGTCTAAAATTTTTGACTACAGGGTTCAAATTACTTAAATAACAATATTTTTTAATTATGTACAAACATATAATATGATACTCACTTACAAGTCTCCTCAATAAAACTTTAACTCGCATGTTACAAATTCCTTGCAAAGTATGATTCAAAAGAAAAGTATTTTTACAGTGAGTCATATTTCGCGATAAATTTCAAAGGGTCCAGCCAACACACGGTCAATGGACGGACGGTATTAATGGAATTCTTACACTACATAATTCTTATAGTACGCTAATCCCTACTCAAAACCGGTTTTACAACACAAAGGCGCAAGAAATAAAGAGACACAAAAAAATCAATAACGGTAGCTATTGTTTGAAAGCTGTGATATCAGAATTGATTTGAATTTGAACAGCGATTATTCGTTGAAATAATTAATACTACTCTACTCCTACTACTACTACTCTAAATAAATACAAGAATGTAAACAGATGCAAAGATCTGAATTTGAACGATTGAAATGCAGTGCTTCTTCTGTTTATCAAATATTTTGATGATGTACGGATTACAAGTCAAAACATTGCATATCGATCGAGCCTGCTGCGTTTACAGATTAATATTGAATTTTATTTAATAAAATAATTAATAATCTAACATAATAATTAATAACAATAATCTATTGAATAAAATATCCAGCAGAGGACTATTAAAGGCTGTTAATGATGAATAAAGTGAACTGTAAAGCAATTTTAATGTTTACTACTGTAAAAGTTACTATGAAGTATGTACATAATGTTTTATATTTAGATTATGTTTATTGGTAATATTTTCATACTAACTTATTAATATCGGAAAGCATGGCGAACAATATTACTCATCGAATGATTAAAAGATGTGTCATCTGCGTGATCAGAAAGTGACCAAGAGATAGCGGAGACATGAGAATTGCATTAAAAGAACTTATTTTCGGCAGATATGTTATACATTGTTCAAACCTAAATATGTGCAGAACATGGCCTATTAGCTTAAAACTAAATATATAAACTAATTGAAGCAGTGTAATAATGTACCAAATAAGAGCCTAACACAAAAGTAATAGCAATAGGAACGACCATTTAAAATTATTTACTAAATCATCAACTTAAAATATAAAAAGCAACGCAAGGAATTCCTCGTAGACTTCAGAAACACAGTATTAACGATAGGAGAAAGACCAGTCTTCATATAGATATAAAATAATATACCTACTATTTTTATTCTCTATACATCTCTAACCCTAATTCTCGTAACTAACTATCTATGCACAGTAACCTGTCAATCGACAATACTATCTAACAGATGAATCTACAGGAAATGGCTAAGCTAAATTAAATGCAAAATATACACAGAACCAGTAATTTTTTTTTATCTGTAGACAAACGGCCTTAAAAGAGTCTTGTAAGCATATCTTTGGTAGCATTGAGCCGTTATAAAATATAGCTCATTGTATGCAAGTTAATTAGATTATTAAGGTTGTACTTGTTATTGTTTAGATGGGTATGACATCACACGACAATGTTTTGGCGCCAGTCCAAGATTTTTGGTGTTCTATTGTCATTTAATGACCCGCTGTGATACTATGTTTTTATGAAATTATTTTAAAACGCTTTATGTATTATATTACACTAATTGTGATAGTTTATATCCCATCTCTACAAATAGAATATCTAAGTCAAAATGATGGTTTTCATTCTGACTAAAAGTATACACCGTTTACGTCTTATTAATTACTTCAAAAGAAAAAGGAAACCTTAGCGTAAGGGTTCTGAAAAAGTTAGTGATCTATCTTCCTATCGATATCGGCAAATCTATTTTATTAACTAAGTAAGCAGTAATTTAACTAAGATTTTGAGCCACTACAAGGTACTACCGATATTATTCGCAATATTACCTGCCTACAGAAAGTTACACTTCATTCGGTTGCCGCGGCAGTTACATTTATTTAAATACCGCATTTAAGTACGCCAATTGTATTATTCATCTATCTGTGCGTCTTTTTAAATAATATCAAAGCTCAAGAAGTTGCTTTTTACTTTTAGCGTAAACATATTAGGAACTAACATATTAGGAAACAAGACTTATTTCACACATTCAAACTATTGACGAACAAAAACAATCATAAATGAAAATTTAGTTTTAGTTATCCCTCCACTAAATGAATGTTGTTGCTAATTACTGAATGTTTGAAAGACATTCACATTTTAGCCATACCCTAAGTAACTACTGATGCGTAGGCAGGACTTGTAAACAATTACGCTCTGACGAAGTTTCCTCTTTACATGTTTTCGTGACAAATTTGTCAATTCTAAAAACTACATGTAAAATCTTTTGTCATTTGATATTATAGTTATTGATTTGTATGAAGGATTTGTTTGGATGAAGACATTTTTGTTTGTTTAAATCTACGCATATATATACTAACTATTTGTGAGATTCGAACAATTTTTTCTGTCTTGGATAGAGTTTTCACTGAGGAAATATAGAATGTATGTACCTAACTTTATCTGTGTCTAAATTCATAAATGAGAGCTATGGAAAAGAGTATTTGTTATTGTGACAGATACTTGATTTCCTTAGACTTTCTGAGCTCAATACAAATTAATACGGAAACACTACCCATTAGCTTTTCGCATCGACATTTTAGAAGTAGGAGTCCTTTCAAGGGGGGAATATACTTAATTTAAAAGTACAATCTTTTAGCCTCCCTCGCCCGTAGATTGCAGATGATGCTTAAAAGCTTTTAAGAATAAGAAGTCTACGTAGCAACTGACGTCATCAAAGAGATAAAACAGGCGAACTGAAAGACACTCTCTATGAAGTACCGATGGAGAATAATTAAGTCTATACATTTAAGTATAATAGTTTAAGAGTCTGAGTGCTTAGCCTATAGCACTATAGGGGATAATATACCTAAGAACAGTGATAGAATTCAACCTTTATGCAAAAGTGTGTCTATCTGTCTGTTACTATTTACGCTTAAACCGCTGAACCTATTAATATGAAATTTGGTATAGAGCTAGTCCGTGTTGCGGGAAATTACATAGGATGGTTTTATCCCAGAAACCATCCTTTAAGAATGTAAAATGGGGG